TTGATGATCTTGGTAACTGTGGTCCTTCTAGTAGATCTCAGGGGTTTCTTGTAGTAGGAGAGCTCCTAATAATATTCTGAATTAAATGTTGGGAGCTAGATAACTGTAGAAGAGCCAACAGCTGTAGAAGATCATAGTTTCCAATAATAAGTTCTCATCAGTGTAGAGCATCTCTTGAAGAAAGTTCACAAGTGTAATTAACTTCTTTGTCAGCTGTAGTATAATCACCTGGTAATATAGCTAAGCTTTAGTGATGTCCAGCTTCTGTAGTATCTAGTCTTCAGAGCACTGCACTGTTAACATTGTTGGTGAACTTATCTCAATTTTTGTAGATATTTAGAATATGACAAAGCTTTTGTGCAGCCTACAGGCTCTTTACTTTTGATCATATGGCATCAATTCTGTCTATTTCCCATGTAGTGACAAGGCTATTCTTGATCTTTTGCATATTAATGTGATGTTGTTTAACATTCATGGTAATCTTTCAAGCATTATGGAAATCAGCTTCAAAATTAGTGTGTGTAACATGTTGCCAAGCTCTAGATCTTTCAACATATTGATAGAAATAGGCCACTAAGTCAGTGACCACATCAGTTACTTGCATAAGTGTGTTCATCAGCTTGACTTGTATACCATATCAACAGTACAGAGCTTGATTACCAATGTATTCCATAGCTGCTGTTAGATTATTGAAGAAATAGCCATTCAAGTTAACCCCACTGTCTCTGGTAACAACCAGATCTTGATTTTCAGTTGCTGGTGCTAAAGAAGGCAGGTTGCTTCATCCAGCCATTTTTGAAGAATATCAGAAATCAAAAAATTTGCAAATGTCAGAATAACAGAATAGAAGAAAATGTTGAATCTGTAAAAAGAATCAAGCTTGAATGTAAAAGAGAGTAAAAGCTCCAGAGAAGAAAAATCAGTCTTTAAATCTCTCTCAAAAACTCAGAAAAAGTGAAGGCTTATGCAAATAACAAAGAAAGAGAAACTTTCCAAAAGAGCAAGCAAAAACTTTACTTTGCAGGCAAATAAAAGAAACTTTCTGAATAAGCAAGCAAAACTTCACTTTTGCAAACAAAACACATCAAATTAAATATCTTGTGAAGGTATAACAAGAGCAAAGCTCCAGTTGTCTGGAATAACAGTTGGAAATCACATTTGCTCCATTTGTTCTTGATCATTTTCATTTTCACTCTGATTCAAGAAGCTGATATTCAAGAAACTGCTAGAGAGAATATTAGGTTGACTTCTGGTGGCATATTTTTGAGAGATATTCTCCATCTCTACATTAGAATCTGCTGGGCTATTATTAAATAGCTCCATTTCAGATTTTATAAGATACTTCTTTAATCTGTTTCCTGCAATAGATTCTCTGATTTCAGTGCCATCTAATTCTTCAAGATGATAGGAACCTAGTTCTTGATTGGCAGACTTAACTCTATAGAGTTCTAGCCATTAAAAGTGCAGAGTATTGTTCCTAGACATATTCTGTTCTTCTTTGATATTGTGAAGCAAGACAAGGTCTCCAGGTAGAAGAGAGTTGATCTGAATATTATAGGTATCATCAAAGTATTTCTTATTTCTAGCACACATTCAAAGCTGATAATGTGCTACTTTCAGAACATCCTTATCTTATCTTTCAATTTGCTGTGCTTACATCAGAAGCAGGTCTTCAGTTATTTGAATCTTTCATCAGAAAATTGTTTGTCAAGTAGGAATCTTGAGTTTAATTGGAAGAACTATCTCCTGGCCCATTAGTAATCTATAAGAGAAGACACCAGTACTAGTATTAGTTGTCATTTGATTAGAGTGGTATCTGGTTCCGGGATTTCCTGTCCTGGTCCCAGATTCCCATCCCAATTCCTGTCCTGAGGATGGGATCAGGTTGAAGCTCAGCTTAATAGAATGGGACTGGGTTGTTTAACAGCATATTGGAACAGTTCCATGGAAACTGGAATTGGGATGGGATTGGAACCAGAATCAAAATCTAGCTAGTAGAACAGGCCCGGGACCTGACATGACAAAATAGGATAGAACCAGGATTTCAATATTGTATATGGGACAGGACCAGTAAAGTATAGGATGGAACTGGGAACCCCAGTCCCATTTGTGTTGGCAAAAAATAACAAAATTTGGTAATGGTCCTAACATAATTTTATCAATTTATTCAACTTTGGAAAAGTATTAAAATTTGGTAATGCTCTTTGCATAATTGGATCATATTGCAAGCTATTAGCTACTTGAATCTATCTATTGATAACATTGACATATTTTCTGTTTCTTATCTAAATTGAGTAGTGAATTTAGCAGGCTGGCAATCTCTTTCTGTACAATCTCTGGAGTATCTTGATTATCTTGATTGTCTTGAATGACTTTCTTGATCAACTTCTCATGCAATATGAGTGCTTCATCCAGCATATGCATCTTATCTTCATGTTTAAGCAGCCTGATCTTCTTAATTGTAGATGCATGGAGCCACAATCATTAATAATGACATGTATCTCAAGTAATATTGAAAACCCATTCTACCCCAACTCCTGTTAAAGATATAGCCAGAATGTCTCTTGCCATTCAGGCAACAGTTGGAAAATCAGGCTCTAGTATTCTCTACTGTTCCAGAATTGGAGCTCAAGATGATGTCAAATTCTCATTATTTAAATATTGCTCCATTTCATTTTAGAAATTTACTCATTTTTGATGAGGTCTCTCAAAAATCATTTGCTCAATATTCTAGAGAAGTTAGCAGAGAAGAAATCAGAATAATACTTATAACAAATATACATCATTCACATCAAGTATTACTTCTCTTGGCTGTTCATATTTCTCATAATGCTTTTTGTAAAATCTCAAAATATATTGTCAGTATGTTTCACACTCATTACTGATCTAATTCTCTGAATCATATGCTCTTATATGATGTGATGAATAGAGAGCAGCAGCTACAGCTAGCAGCTCACTCTTTGGATACTCAGTATCACTATAGTATTTCTGGAATTTCAAGTTGACAGCTTTGATAGCTTTTTGAATGATCTCTCTTGTTGTCAACTGTTGGGCCTTGTCCTCCTCTCTTTCTAAATACTGGAAAAGATGATTGTACATTGCCCATACCAGATGAATTATTGGGCCTGTTGTTTTGAACAGTATCTTGGTAAATCATCTGAATGGCTGCAACAGTCCAATCATATACTCTAGCTGCTTCCAGTCATGATCCAATAAGCAAAGCCTTTAGTATTTTGGTGATGAGTTCTGGATTCATGAATTCACAGCTTGTTGAAGCAACAAGATACAAACATACATCTTATAGGTGGAATTCCATCTTGTGTGAACATCTTGGATCATCTTGTGCTGGTTCTCTTGTTGATATTCTCAGAAACATACAGCAAGTTAGGGGGAGGTATTAGTTGCATTAGCAACAAGACAAATTTATTATCAAGTAAAGATTAGTAAATTAACTCAAATATATCAAGACCATTACCAAATTTCATTACCTTTCTAAGAGTATTTGCAAATGTGTCTGTTGATGCTAGATCATCAGTAATTGAGCTCTCATTAAAGATAGTGGGTAGAGCATCATTGTCTGGCTGAATCTTGAGATTGCAAACCAGCTCTCAAACCACAAGTTAAATCATATAAGCAAGACAGAGTATTATTTCACTCTCTGTATTCCAATCAGTTATCTTGTTCAACTGCTGCAATGCTGGCCTCAACTGATGTGTAAGATGTGCTCACATGATACCATTGTTTGACACATTGTTACTTATAATTGCAAGAAGATTGCTCTCAAGCCTTCATGCTGTTAGTGATTGTTAGAAAATCTCTGTCATATTCTTATCAGTATGAGCACTCTCTAAACTTTCAAAATTCAGTAAATGCTTACAGTACTTCTAGTTCTTTGTAATATAATAACCATTAATTATCATAAAGGCAAGGTTATTGGGACTTGGTCAATTATTCACTGCCAGAGATATCTTGATTGTTGGATCATAATTAAAGAGAAGATTTCAGAATAGCTGATTGTATATATCATTCATGACCTGATATAATGTTTCTTGTGTGGGTATCTGTAAAGCCATTGCAGGATTAAGCATGGTTATTAATGTGTGGAATGCTGGATTCTCAATAGCATAAAATAAGAGATTTAAGAATATTAATGTTTGCACAAGCTGCCAGAGAAAATTATCTTAATTGCATTTAGAAACAGACAGATCTGAATCTGTTCAAGAACACTTCAGAAACTATTGCTAAGATATCAGGATCATTACTAAAATTTGTTATATTTGGAAAATTAGAATTCATGACCTACTATCATGTTAACCAGAGTGTTACTCTGTCTGTCACCAGTTTTTGTATAATCTTTGCTCATTAAATGCTTCTTCAGACCACTTATACCATTTCAAGAAAAGCTTGAATGACTGAGAAAGATTTGATAATACTTGCAAATTATCTCTGAAGTACTCTTAGAATGCTCTGCCATCTGATCAAATTTTGATTAAAAATCAGAATGGCATTGCTTTGTCTTTCAGTTGGAGTCACCACACTTCTTATCATTAACTAACTGACCAGCTTCAGTAGTCAATCATCAAGTAACAAACAACTTATAATGCAGCTCCTTCTACAATACAAATTGTTTTTTTCCATGTTGAACTATAGTCAATTCTGAAGAGATCTCTGTAGATTTTGCTTGTTTGCTGGCTTTAGTTATTAGATTTTTCTTTTTTTTTTTTTTTTTTACAATCAAATTGATTTTTCTCTAAGTTCTGCCTTAGTCAGAAAAGTAACAAAATGTGATCAGAGTCCATGCAAAATTTGATAATCTCTAGATAGTTAGCCTCATTTTACTCTGTAAGTACAGCAATCAACTACAAAATCTTCTTCTTCTACAAAATGGAACATTCTTCTTCAGGAAAATAAAACATTTTGTCAATTTAATAGCACCCCATTCTCAAATTAATATGAAAAAAGAACTAAAAACCTAACTTTCTTCTCTAGATATTAATAATTTAATTATTCTCCATCTCATTGTTCTTCTCATCATTCTCATCAGAGAATACCACAATCTCAAAATCATCTTTCTTCATCTTCTCTGGAGCAGATGGGCTGTTATTGTCTTCACTCAGACCCTGTAATTGGCTCAGGAATTCCCTTATCTTCTTCTCAACTCTCTCTCTTAATACACCAACCACAGCAAGACAATCATGATCATGGGCCATGACCTTGACCTCAAGCCTGGCTATTATTTGGCAGAATTAGGCCTCCCTACATGCAGCAATAGGATGCTGTACCTGGCTTGTTTTGGCCTAAATATATCAGAACTGTTACCAAATTTCATTACTTTTGAATTCTATCTTCTTTTTCTGCTGAGCTTTATTCTCAGTCTCTGTAATCTCTTCTCAGCAACACTTCTTCTCTTTCTCCCTCTTCTTTTACTGAGAGATCATGAGCTGGTGCTTATGGTACTTCTTTAACTTGCCCTTAGCAAATCACTTGACCATCAACTCTTTAATAACTTTATCTTTAATCATCTTGTAATTCTCCTTACTGCTATTCTGCCTGCAATAGATGTCAATATAATTCAATGCAAACCACTGAGAATGCATACCACTCATATTTTGCTCAGATTCTCTTCAGCACATCATGGTATATCTTGCAATCCATCTCTCCTGCCTTGAATATGTCTTTTTGATGATCTTTCAAGGGCTGGCAGTGCTCCCATGCTGCATGAGTCTTCTCTCTTATTGAATATTGTTTTGGCCCCATCTTCACAATTGTATGCAATGAGTTGAATTGCTTGCTACAGAATAATAAAATTATAGAGTATATTAATCAAGTACTTGCATAGAATGGTTACTATACACATTATTTACATTCTACAGGCATATTACTATAGGCAAGCTCAACACATTGTTACTATGCTGGCTACAGGATAATGAAATTATAGAGTGTATTAACTAAGTACTGTAGAATAGTTACTATACACATTGTTTACATTCTACAGACATGTTGCTATGAGCAAGATCAACATATTGTTGCTATGCTGGCTACAGAATAATAACATCAGGTCAGTCTTTCTTCTCTTCTCTTTCCCTTTCTCTTCTTCTTCTTTCTCTTCAGGACTAACATTAACAATTCTTTCCTTCCACCATCTTTTTATTTACTGTACTTCAATGTCTGTGTGTACAACAAACATATACTGCAACAAAATAAATCACATTAAGAGGTGAGTGCTTGCAGAATACTGCTCTGGTGCACATTGTTTACTGACAAGATGTTAGTTTTCCCCATACACATTCATTTCATACAGCTGGAGAGGAGTAGCACAAGACCATATTGAAAGAATGGGCCCTGAAGAAGAGCAATTGACATAAAGCTAATAAAGATGTTGATCTGGCTAACTTTGACCAGAAGAATCTCTGCTCCTGTGCCCCCATTCAAAATTGGAAAGCCAGCACTCATATATCAAAAAGTAACAATTTTTGGTAATAGTCTTGATGCTAATTGGTGAAAATAGATGCCATCAAGAAAATCTGCCACTTCCAGAGCTCTACCAAGCTAATCTTGCCAGTGGCCCCATTTCAGCAATTGATTCAGGAAATTACTTTGTTCTGTCATCAAGAACATGAATATTACTGACAACATACTGCTATTAAGTCACTTTAGAAGACAGCTGAAGCAATCTTATGCACTCTGTTTAAGTGTAAGTCACTCTTAGCAATGGTACTAACAATTATACTGAGTAATATAGGCTCTGTTATGGCAATGATGTATCATAAGCACATTACAGTCAATGCCAACAATATAAAGCTTGTTCTTGACATTAGTGCCAAAATTAGATCAAACTCTTTCAGCTCAATTGATGTATCTGATCATCCCATCTCTGCTACTACCATCTGCTGCCTGTGTGCTGCTCCTGCCCCACCAACTACCACTGCCACCACTCCACCACCACCACTACTGCCCACCACTGCCTTTCTGCCTCCCTCCAGCACCATCAGGGTCTCTGCTCATCAAATGGCAGGTATTAGAGCTCCTGTCTGGTTCACAAAGCTGGTTCTGGAGGAGCAGGAGAAGAAGAAGAAGAAGAAGAAGAAGTGAAAGAAAGAGGAGAAGAAAGAGAAGGCGAACAATAATGATAATAAAGATGATGATAATGATAATTAACTTGTCATTTAGACAGTTCCTGTTTGTTTGCTGGCTTCAACCATTAGTTAGTTTTAATACTTTGTTTCTTTTGACAATCAAATTGATTTTTCTATGGGTTCTGCCTTCATCAAGAAAGTAACAAAATTTGATAATAATCCACACAAAATTTGATCAGTTTGACTCTTTCTTATGAATTTGACATAATGAGACTGAGAATCCTGATCCCATTCTGGTCTCACTATGGACCTGGCCAGGATGGGAAATGGGAGTCTACCATCTCTGCTGGAATGGAATGTGGGACATAATTTTCTATTTGAGAATGGGACCAGGAAATAATTTCTGGAATAGGGATAGGACATGGGACTGAGATTTCATATTTGGGATCCTGGCTGTTTCTAAATTTGGGACCAGGACCAGGTTCAATGAGAAATGGGATTCTGTCCTGGTCCTGAATACCAGCCTACATTTGATCTGCCATCAGAATTGCAGGAAGATATTTAATCCAATCTCTTCCAGTGTCATTGGTAGCTTTAGCTAGTCCATCAGCCAAAAGCTTATGGCTAACTTCCACCATACCATTTACAGGAGAATTATAGGGCAAAATAACAATGTGTTTAATATTGAATTTCTTCAGTAAGGTCTCTACAACATTCTTATTTTCTGGTTCTCCATCCATAACAAATTTGGCAGGCAGGCCCCATTGACAGATGATATTCTCATAAAGAAATATGGCCACAGCTTCAGCTGTTGCCTTTTTCAAGACTTTAGCTTTTACTCATCTAGTGAAGTCACATCTGGTAATAATCAAATAATTTTGTCCTTGACAGAAAGGCATATGCTTGATATTCATCCCAACTTTCTTCCAACAGATAGAAGCCCAGATAGAATGAAGCTCTTTACTCAATCTTTATAAATCACTTTGTTGACATTGAGAACAGTGCTTCACATAAGCAGACATATCTTTATACATCTCTAACCACCAGTATTAAGCTTGTAGAGCAGAGTATGTTCTCTCTTGCTCTTTATGACAAAATTTGTTGTGCATTATGTGTAAAATTTGTTTGTACTGTCCTTTGTTGTCCACAACATATCTTAGAAGCACACCAGATCCCACTCATCTAAATAGTTAATCAGCCTTCACCATATATTTAATTACTTTTCTTTGGAATCTTGTGTACTCTTTTCCTTTCATGCCCAATGGTTTTGATAGGGTGATTAGATATCATGCAATTTTCTCTGATTCTTCTGAATATATGAAGTCCAGTATTCTAAGATCTTTACTATCAAGAGCTCAGCCAGCTAAAACTCTTATAGAATTTGTAAAGGCAAACAGATCTTCATCTTCTTCAGATTCAGACTGTTCCCTAATATCTAGTTCTCAGGAAGATAGTTCATCAGCAGCTGTGTATTTTGTCCCAGGAACATGTTTAACAGTAAAGTCAAAAAGACATATCCAAGCTATCCAATTGGTAATCAAAGCTTCTGAAACATTTGTAGCAGTCTTGTTAAATTGGGCAACAAGAGTTTTTGCATCAATTTCCAAAGTAAAAAGCAGTCTATAAATATAGTGTTGGAATTTCTTGAAGATTTTCAAAACAGCTCTGCATTCTCATTTGCCAGCATTATATATTTTCTCTGAATCACTCCATGCTCTGAATTCATATTATGTAGGATGTCAAGCTCTTCATTGCTTCTGAATAATGCATTCTCCCCATTCTAATCCACTGGCATCAACAGTTACAGTGATAAGCAAAGAATCTTGTTTATAATTAATTGGAAAGATGATAGAGAATGAACATAACTTTTCTTTCAAAAGCATAAAGACATCATTTTACTCTTCAGTCCATGTCCATATAATATTTCATTAAAGCAGATAATGTAAAGGTTCAGTTATCCAACTATAATGCTCTATAAGTATTCAGAAATATCCAGCAAGCCCTAGGAACTCTTGTAATTCTGTAACACTTGTAGAAGTAGGCTAATTTGCAATTTTAGCCATCTTGGCTTCCTCAGATCATCATTTATCATAGTTACAGACCCATCCAACAACATTGACTCTAGACATGCAGAATTGAGATTTGGCACCAGAGATTCTGGCTCCAGAGATTTTAACAAGTTATAGAACATAGTTCAGGTTCTGCAGATGGTTATAAACAAATCTTCTTATTTCTGGAAGAACTTCAGTTTTATCTTTGACACACAATTCTTTTACTTCAAGATCATTTATAAAGACTCAAGCAATCTCTGGAAAAACCTTACATATTATCTTCATTATCCCACATTGGGCTTAAGCTGGCAAATTTGTTGCCCCTTGAACTAAAGTTGTATGGCAAAAGAGCCCAATAAGAGTTGCAATGGCTATCATATCTCTGCTTTCTTTAGCTAACAGAAAATTATGATATCCAGAGAATAAGCCACATAGACTAGTCATAACAAGTCCACTGAAGTCTTCAGTATATTTATCAATATTAGAAGCAATAAAAGTGTCCTGAATAGTAACTTTATTGTACATATGTGCTGTATCAACTAAATGATATTTGCTTTTCTGTTTCTTTACAACCAGAAAATAGGGATTGGTATATGAATCATGGCAAGACTCCAACATTTTAGCTTCTAACCTGTCCTGAATAATTTTAATTAGATTATTATATAGAGTATGAGGAATTCAGTAAGTCTTAGTCTGCCAAGCCTTATGGGGCTCTGTTCAAATAACCTGGGGAGGCAAGCATTTAGAATAAACACCACATAGATCTTTGAATGACCAAGCTAATGCTCCTTTATGTTTATAAAGAACTGATATGAAAAATTCCTTCTTCTAACTTGTCAGTTTGAATTCAATTTTGAGCTTTTTAATTCTCTCATTTGTTAGCCATTCTCCAACAGGAAAGAGCACAATTCTAAGCCTAATATAATCATCAAATTTACAATTAAATGCAACATGTTTCTTCTCAAGATAATACTTATCCAAACAAATATCCACCTAATTATCTAGGTCTTCCAGCTTGCTTTCATCAGATTTTCCAGATGCTAATGGTCTTATCTTATCAGCTTTCTGCTTATAAGCAGTGCACACTCTCCAGACCTCTGAAGAAGATGGCCTGATGTTCTATCCACTATTGAAAATATCTATCTGATGTGATTTCTTTGTGACAAAATTGTGATTTTTGTTTTGGATTATATTGCAAGCTATTAGCTACTTGAGTCTATCTATTGATAATGTTGATGTATTTTCTGTTTCTCATCTGGATTGAGTAGTGGATTTAGCAGGCTTGCAATCTCTTTCTGTACAATCTCTGGAGTATCTTGATTCATGAGTCCACAGCTTGTCAAAGCAACAAGGCACAAACACATATTTCAGAGATGGAATTCCATCTTGTGTAAACATCTTGAATCATCTTGTGCTGGTTCTCTTGTTGATATTCTTGAAAATATGCAGCAAGTTGAGAGGAGACATTGATTGCATTGGCAATAAGGCAAATCTATTGTCAAGTAAAGATTAGTAAATTAACTCAAGTATATCAAGATCATTACCAAATTTTGTTATCTTTCTAAGAGTATTTGCAAATGTGTCTGTTGATGCTAGATCATCAGTAATTGAGCTCTCATTAAAGATAGTAAATAGAGCATTATTATCTGGCTGAATCTTGAGATTGCAAACCAGCTCTCAAACCACAAGTTGAATTATATAAGCAAGACAAAGTATTGTTCTACTCTCTGCATTTCAATTAGTTGTCTTGTTCAACTGCTGCAATACTGGTCTTAACTGATGTGTAAGATGTGCTTGCATAATACCATTGTTTGACATATTATCACCTGCAATTGCAAGAAGATTGCTCTCAAGTCTCCATACTGCTAGTAATTGTTGAAGAATCTCTGCCATATTCTTGTCAGTATAAGCACCCTCTAAACTTTCAAAACTTAGTAAATGCTCACAGTACTTCCAATTCTTTGTAATGTAATAACCATTAATTATCATAAAGGCAAGATTATTGGAACTTGTGCAATTATCTACTGCTAGAGATATCTTGGTTATTGGATGATGGTCAAAGAGAAGATTTTGGAATAGCTGATTGTATATATCATTCATGACCTGATATAATGTTTCTTGTGTGGGTATCTGTAAAGCCATTGCAGAGTTGAGCATGATTATTAATATGCAGAATGCTGGATTCTCAATAACACAAAATGAGAGATTCAAGAATATTAATATTTGCACAAGCTGCTGGAGAAAATTATCTTGATTGCATTCAGAAACAGACAGATCTGAATCTGTTCAAGAATACTTTGAAAACTGTTGCTAAGACACCAGAATCATTACTAAAATTTATTATATTTGGGAAATGAGAATCTATAATCTACCATCATGTTAATCAGAGTGTTACTCTGTCTGTCACCAGTTTTTATACAATCTTTGCTTGTTAAATGCTTCTTCAGACCACTTGTACCATTTCAACAAAAACTTGAATGACTGAGAAAGATTTAGCAATGCTTGCAAATCATCTCTAAAGTATCTTTAGAATACTCTGCCATCTGATTAAATTTTGATCAAAAATCAGAATAATATTGCTTTATCTTCTAGTTAAGGTCACCACACTTCTTATCATTAATTAACTGAGCAGCTTCAGTAGTCAACTACCAAGTAACAAACAACTTATAATACAGCTCCTTCCACAATACAAATTGTTTTTTTCCATGTTGAACTATAGTTAATTCTGAAGAAATCTCTGTAGATTTTGCTTGTTTGCTGGCTTCAGCTATTAGATTTTTTTTTTTGTTTTTTTTTTTTTTTTCACAATTAAATTGATTTTTCTCTAAGTTCTGCCTTAGTCAAAAAAGTAACAAAATGTGGTCAGAGCCCAAGTAAAATTTGACAATCTCCAGATAGTTAGCCTTATTTTACTCTGTAAGTACAGCAATCAACTACAAAATCTTCTTCTTCTACAAAATAGAACATTCTTCTTCAGGAAAATAAAATATTTTGCTAATTTAATAACACCCCATTCTCAAATTAATATGAAAAAAGAACTAAAAACCTAACTTTTTTCTCTAGATATTAATAATTCAATTATCTTCCACCTCATTGTCCTTCTCATCATTCTTATCAGAGAACACCACAATCTCAAAATCATCTTTCTCCATCTTTTCTGAAGCAGATAGACTGTTGTTGTCTTCACTCAGACTCTGTAATTGACTCAGAAATCTTCTTATCTTCTTCTTAACCCTCTCTCTCAATACACTGACTGCAGTAAAATAATCATGATCATGAGCTATAATCTTGACCTCAAGCCTGGCTATTATTTGGCAGAATTGGGCCTCCCTACATACAGCAATAGGATGCTGTGCCTGGCTTGTTTTGGCCTAAATATATCAGAACTGTTACCAAATTTCATTACTTTTAAATTCTATTTTCTTTTTCTGCTGAGCTTCATTCTCAGTCTCTGTAATCTCTTCTTGATAATACTTCTTCTTCTTCTCCCTCTTCTTTTGCTGAGAGACCATGAGCTGGTGCTCATGATACTTCTTTAACTTGCTCTTAGCAAATTGCTTAATTATTAACTCTTCAATGGCTTTATCTTTAATTATCTTGCAATTCTTCTTACTGCTATTCTGCCTGCAATAAATATCAATATAATTAAACATAAACCACTGAGGGTGCATACCACTCATATTTTACTCAGATTTCCTTTAGCACATCATGATATATCTTGCAATCCATCTCTTCTGTCTTGAATATGTCTTTTTAATGATCTTTCAAGACCTGGCAGTGCTCCAATGCTGCATAGATCTTCTCTCTTATTAAATATTGTTTTGGCCCCATCTTCACAATTGTATATGATGACTTGAATTACTGGCTACAGAATAATAAGATTATAGAGTATATTAATCAAGTACTTGCATAAGATGATTACTATACATATTGTTTACATTCTACAGGCACATTGCTATAGACAAGCTCAATATATAGTTGCTATGCTGGCTACAGAATAATAGAATTATAAAGTGTATTGACCAAGTACTGTAGAATGATTACTATACATATTGTTTACATTCTACAGGCATCTTGCTATAGGCAAGATCAACATGTTGTTGCTATACTAGCTACAGAATAATAACATCAGATCAGTCTCTCTTCTCTTCTGTTTTTCTTCCTCTTCTTCTTCTTTCTCTTCAAAGCTAACATTGACAATTTCCCCTCTCCCTCTTCTTCAATCTTTTTATTTACTGCACTTCAATGTCTATCTGTACAACAAACATATACTGCAACAAAATAAGTCACATTAAGAGGTGAGTGCTTGCAGAATACTGCTCTGGTGCACATTATTTACTGACAAGATGTTAGTTTTCCCTGTGCACATTCATTTCATACAGCTGGAGAGGAGTGGCACAAGGCCACATTGAAAGAATGGGCTCTGAAGAAGAGCAATTAGCATAAAGTCAATAAAGATGTTGATCTGGCCAACTTTAATTAGAAGAATCCCCACCTCTGCCCCCCTGTTCAAAATTGAAAGACTGGCACTTGTATGTCAAAAAGTAATGATTTTTGATAATAGTCTTGATGCTAATTAGTGAAAATAGATGCCATTAAGGAAATCCACCACTTCCAGAGCTCTACTGAGCTAATCTTGCCAGTGGCCCTGTTCCAGTAATTGGTTCAGAAAATTACTTTGTCCCGTTATCAAGAACATGAATATTGCTGACAATATACTGCTATTAAGTTACTTCAGAAGATAGCTAAAGCAATCTTGTGTACTCTGTTTGAGTATAAGTCACTCTTAGCAATGGCACTAACAATTATACTCAGTAATATAGACTCTGTTATGGCAATGGCATATCATAAGTGCATTACAGTCAACACCAATAATATGAAGCTTGTTCTTGGCATTGGTGCCAAAATCAGATCAAACTATTTTGGTCTGATTGATACACCTGATCACCCTGCCCCTGCTGCCACTATCCACTGCCTGTGTGCTACCCCTGCCCCACTAACTACTGCTGCTGCCACTTCATCACCATCACCACTATTCACCACCATCTCTCTGTCTCCCTCCAGTGCTGTCAGAGTTTCTGCCTGTCAAATGGCAGATATTAGAGCCCCTGTCTGGTTCACAAAGCCAGTTCTGGAGGAGCAGGAGAAGAAGGAGAAGAAGAAGAAGAAGAAGAAGAAGAAAAAGTAGAAGAAGAAGAAGAAGAGAGAGAAGAAGAACAATAATAATAATAAAGATGATAACAATAATGGTTATCTTGCTATTTAGGCAGTTTCTGTTTGTTTGCTAGCTTCAGCTATTAGTTAGTTTTAATACTTTATTTCTTTTAACAATCAAATTAATTTTTCTATGGATTCTGCCTTCATCAAAAAAGTAACAAAATTTGATAACAGTTCACACAAAATTTGATCAGTTTAACTCTTCCCTATAAATTTAACATGATGGGACTGGGAATTCTGATCTCATCCTGGTCCCACTATGAACCTGGCTGGAATGGGAAATGAGAGTCTACCATCTCCACTGGAATGGGATGTGAGACATAATTTTCTATTTGAGAATAGGACCAGGAAATAATTTCTGGGATAGGAATAGGAACAGGACCTCAAGCTCTTGAGTGGGATAGGACATGGAACTGAGATTTCATACTTGGGATCCCAGCTGTTTCTAAATTTGGGACTGGGACCAGGTTCAATAGAAAATGGGATCCCATCCCAGTCCCAAATACCAGCCTACTTACAACTTGTTTGACAAGTAAAACCAAAGCTCTTTAACATAGCACAGAAATCAGTCTTATAAATCTTTTGTACCATCTTACTTGTTCTCAGACTAACTTCTGCTTAAGCTAATCTCATATCTTCTATTAATTATTTAACCAACATTGTTTCTTCTAGTTTTCAGAGTATTGTAGAAATAGTTTGTTCTCTTTATAGTTCTTTATCTGTAATATCTTTCTCTGTAACTATATCTTCTGTTGTGGTTCTATTTATTATCATACTAAATATACCTGTAACTCTCAAGCCTCACTCATCTATGACTGGTTCACCACCATTATGGCTGCATCTTGAGTGCTCTCACAGTATACCTTCTCATCATTAAATTCTTGATTTTATAAATGTGTTGTGATCTTTATATTTGTTTCATGTCACATTTATCTTTCTTTCTGTATATAGATTTGTTCATCTTCTTGTAATTACATCTTTTCTTTAGATAATTCTTAAGAGTCGTGCATTTTTAAGATTTTCTTCAGATTTCCACATCAATTTCTCAATAGAAAATCCTTTCCACTTCACTAGATAATGTCTCTTGCAGTAGCATGCTTTGTTGTCCAAGATTTTATCTACTTTCCACTCATGATGGTTATCTACTAGTACCACAGAAGAATATATTGGTGCCTCACCCATTCTCATACAATACAGTTTTAACAATGAGACATGAAAAACATCATAAATGTGATAGGTCAGAGAAAGCTTCAGTCAATATGCATTATTTTCTATGGCCTCTATTACTGAGAAAGATTTATAGTACTTGTTGGCTAACTTCTTGCAAGAATATATTGTTTATAGATTTCTTGATAACAACATTACTTCATCATCAGATGCATATACTTTATCTTGACATTTTTGGTTATAGAACTGTGCTTGGTTCTCTTTTACTTTTATCAAACATTCTACCAGATTATTTCTTAATATAGAGATTATTCTTAGTCTTTTGTTGAGTATTATCTGTATGTTGTCATCATCAGTAATCAACTTCTGAATCTTATCTGGTCCCCTAGATTCAAAGTCATACATTGCTTTGAACAGAGACATGTGTATTACAGAGTGTTCTGATCTGTTGTATGCAAATTCTGCATACACAAGTTACTTCTCTCAATTATCTTGTCTATAACTATAACAGATACAGAGATATTTCTTCAAGATCTTGTTCAGTATCTCTGTTTGGCTATTTATTTGTAGGTGGAATGCCATGCTAAGTTTTTGTCTAACTTTTATGTGAAAATATAGCTCTGACCAGTATTCACTCATGAAAACAAATCCCCAGTCCAAAATAATATTATTTGGAAATTCAAAGTCTTTAAATATTCTTCTGAACAGAAGATTTGCTATTTCTGGCACATCAATCTTCTTTCTGCATACAAGAAAACATGCAAGCTTTGTAAATCAATTCACAACAATCAGAACTGTATTGTATGAATTTCTCTTCTCTCCACTCAGAGAGAGATTCATTATAAAGTTCATGAATATTGAACATTAGAAACCACTGGGTGTTGACAATGATGCAAGCAACTTATATGGTTTGTGTATTGAAGTTTTTTCTTATTAGCAGGTTTGGCATTTATATATGTACATCTGAACATCTTGTCTTATTAATTGCCAATTATATTTTTGCTGAAGCAAGATAAACATCTTCACCATGCTAAAGTAACCTGTAAATGAATCATTATAGTGAACTTATAGTAGTTTCTGTCTTAGAGCTAGATTATTAAAGATGTAGATCCTGCCACTCTTTATTAAAAGATCTTATTTATCTATTTTTTACTCTGACTGCTGAGATCCTGCCTCAGCAAATCTTACTTGTACAGAGAGATTATCTTTCTGTACTTCTAGCAGCAGATTCAACATACTTACAGTTGATTTATTATAGATCTTTTCATCTTTTATTATTATATTCATGCACATATAGAGAATTCAGAATCTTCTGTGATTTCTTTATTGAGCCTCCGCCACATCTCTGGCTGATGCTCTCTGGACTGACTTAATTATCTTGATGCCACCAGATCTCTCCTGATGCCACCAGATCTCCCCTGCACCATCTCTACTCTACTACTTTGAACAGCATGAGCAGTATATACTTGAATATCTTATTTATTAAAGAAAGTTTCTTCAAATGAGTCCCACTCTGAAACACCATCCATATAATGTTGTTTGAGTATATACATCAGCAGATCAATATCTTCTTTTAGTTTGACATAATCTGGTCTTTGTGATAATGTATCAGCTGGGTTATGCTTTCCAGGGTGGTAGAGAATCTCAAAGTCATATGCCTCAAGAACCTCTATCTATCTTACAGGTTATTATTATGCCATCTTGTTTGTGAACTTCATAAATAAACAAAGATTTGCATAATCTATAATAATCTCTACAGAATACTTTGTTTCTTCTAAATACTGCTGCTAATAAACAAATGCTCAGACAATAGCCAACATCTTCTTATCTGATGTGCCATAGACTTGTTGGGTCTGGTCAAACTTGAATAATCAGTAGATGACTGGATGCCATCTGTTGTCAAACAACTATAGCAATATCATGCCTGTAGCATGTTCTGAAGTATCTGTTTCCAGATATATTCTATATTCTGGATTATAGTGGTGGATGACAGGTTCTCTGGAGAAGGCCACTTTTAATATATGAAATGCTTCTCTAGCAGTAGATATTAGAAGAAATAACCTCTTCTTTTGCTTATTTTTACTGTCTTTCAAGAGATCTGTCAATGGCATCACAATAACTGAGTACTTTTGTATGAACTTCTGATAAAAGTTTGCAAAACCCAGAAATACCTGAATATTATAAAAACTTTATGACAAGAGTCACTTTATAATTATCTGTACCTGCTTTGAATTCATTTTAATATCTTTGTTATTAATGATATATTCAAGATATGAGATTGTTTGTCTTTTGAAAGTGTACTTAGCAAGCTTTGCAAATAACTAGTATTTTCTTAGATACTTCATAACTAGTCTAATGTGTTTCTTGTGCTCTTCTTCTAAGACAGAGAAAATCAGAATATTATCTAGATAAACTACACAGCATACATGAATCAGGCCTGCCAGCACTCTGTTAATATAGAACTGGAAGATCACTAGTGTGTTTGACAACCCAAAAAACATGACAAAATACTCAAAACTTCTAAATTTTATATGAAATATGGTCTTCCATTTGTCTTCTTCTTTGATTCTAATCTGGTGGTAGGCATCATGCAGATCTATCTTGGAAAAGTAGCATGCTCTTATTATCTGGCTTAACATCTTGTCTATCAACAGCAAAGAGTAATAGTTCTTCACTATAATTGTATTAAGACCATGATAATTGACACAGAGTCTGAGTTCTCTATTAGTCTTAGATACAAACAATACTGGAGCCCCTGCTGAACTTTATAATAGATGTATTCAACTCTTGCATAACTTGTTCTTGATGTACTTTTGTAGAATCTCTGTCTGCTTGAGTAATAGTTTATAAATTAATCTATACAGAGGCTTGCAGCTATCTTTAAGAATAATTAGATAACTAATCTTTATTAATTCTGGCAACTATGCTGCTTTTTCTTCTGAGAAAACATCTTTATAATCTCTCAATCACTCAGGCACTTCTGTTAGAACTTGGTTGTTATCTGATACAAAAATAGTAAAAGAGAGTTTGTTCTTGATATATACTACTTAAAGAAATCTATCTGTATTCAGAAGTTTTACTGTTTTCTCTGAGAGTTAGTAATATTATGTCTTGTTCTTCCAGTTTATGTCCAGGTTGAAATCTTCTAATCATGGCATGCTTAGAACTATATTCATGTCAACTATATTAATCACCACAAATGTATGTCTTACTATCTTTGTAATTCTTATGAAGTCTGTTATAGTAAGTTGGGTCTTGTAAATACTGTACCAATCAGCCTCAGCTCTGTTTAACATCTCAATAACTCTCATAAGCATCTCTGATTAATTCCAGTTTAATAGGAATGCCAGTTTGTAGAAGATACTGTCTACTGTAGTATCTGAGTCCAACAGTGCAGCTTGCTCTGTAAGATCATCTGATGGTATAGTCAGTGTAGCTAACAGACACATACTACACCTGCTTGCCTTCTTTATTAAGTTAACACCCTGTCTTTCTAATGTTTGATCTGGGTCTTGCATGAGCTTTGTGGCTCTAGTCTTTGTCTGATTCTCATTCTTTTCATCTGTCCACTGAGACTTGTTGAAGCTAATCATACAGAACCTTACTCTATAATCTGGTTGATCACATCTTAAACAGAGCTCTTTATTTATTTATTATTTATGTTTCTCTTCTGAGATTTTTGAAAGTAGTTTCACTGGTGTCTTCTTTATTCATGGATAACTGTCTTTATTATTTTGTTGAAATGCATCTTTCTCTTGAGATATTAAGATTTTCTGTTTCTTCTTATTTTAATTCTTGTCCCAC